GGATTATCGCCGGCGCATCGTCAGAAGGAAACTTCCGAGATTCTCTTTGTCTTAACAATTATTAGCATTATCCCGACTCGCGGAAACATTTGCAGCTTTTTACTCGGCCGGTGCTATCGGTGCTCTTTATGAATACCTTTGTTCGTCGGCACAGAGTCGGATCCACACTAAATCAGGGTACTCTGTACGGGAAACGTCCAAACGTCAAAGCATCTCCAGTCCATTATCAGGCGAGTGTTCCATCAAAACGGGGTCTAAATTAAGGGAATCCCGCCCCATTTCGCGTTTCGCGATCGATAGAGGGGAGCGGGGAGAGGGGTAGGGTGGCGAACCCTAGAGAGGCAGGGGGACGGGAGGGAGAAAGGGAAAGGACGGCGGAACGGAGAGCTGCCATAGTGCCGGCAACCGCAGGAAAACGCGACGACAAAGGGAAATGGACGTGGGAAGAATCAGGGGGGTTCGAAATCGACGAAGCGTGCCTTCCGCCCTATCCTACCGTGTCTCCGCGCTTCGCCTCGTCTCGTCTCGCCCCGTCCCGTCTCGTTTCTTCCCCCCTCGTCGATCCACCTCGCGTCTCACCCCTTGCTTTTTCGCCGACTGCCGCCAGATAGACGAGAAAATCGGTCGGCGTGTATTGCCCGTCGTAAATCCGTCGCGACGTCGTGCCGGCTACCACCGCGCGACGTATCAAACGCCGATCGTCCTCTAAGCGACGGCTCCTCGAAATAATCTCGCGGATAAGTCGCGCAATTTTCGTCACCCTGCATTCACGATCGATCTCTTGGCACGCGACGCGCGCAAAACGTGCGGCAATCGTGCGATTCTCACGAAGGAGAGACGCATCGATCATTGAAAATCCACAACGAATCTGCGACGATCTGCTTGAACTTCTTCTTGATTCTGTTACATTTTTCCATTTTCCACTTGAATCTCCCGTGTTTTGCGATTATATATTATGTGGCTCTACTCGCACGGTTGTATAAAACCAAAGACAACTCTGATAACTAAAAGATGAAACTGCTTGGGATTTCCATCGAAATGTAACGCTTTTCCTATAGTTACTGCGCACGAAACATGCACAAAAAATCTCAACGGAAACAGAGTGGAAAATAGACACGAAACTATTCGATTGTTTAGTAATTAAGTCTGCTGTGCGTATAACATGGGCAGATTTGACTTAGTAGTATGCTTTATTTTTTGTGCATGAGTTCTAATTGAAATTGTTCTGGCGCGTTATATATATATTTTCATGTTTTTTATCTTTTACGTGACATTATTCATAACCATCAAACAACATATGTCCTTTTATCCATTCTTGCATTTCTACTATTTTATCAAAAGTTTCGAGTCTGAACTGTGGTGGCGGTTTTCATTTGTATCATTAATATCAGAATAGCTTGATGTGCTCTCATCCCAACGAAAT